AGTATATCGCAATATAATTTATTGCAATACTCAGCATATCGCAACATGTTTATAATCGTAATAATATTGTGTTGTGACTTGGGTATCATGTTAACATCGTACCATGGATCCTCTACTGATCCCACCCCTAATGAATATTAGATGAATATTATTGCAATTTTAACTTCATTTTTAAAACAACCTAACAGGCTAGGTAGGGCTTCCGCAGGGGGATGACCAGTTTGGAACCAAAACAGTGTGTTGCACTGGCTTTTATCCCCGAAATGTGCAAAGACTTAGTTGCTCTGCTAAACTTTTGCACACCTTTAGTCCACACCTTGATTTGGTTACATTAAAGAGATGAATCAATTTGGGTTTTTCTTTAAGATATTTTTTAGGCATTTTTTTTTGTCTTTAATCGATAGGAAAGTGAAGTGTGAAGTGGGGAGAGAGAGCGGGAGTGACATGCAGCAAAGGGCCACAGGCTGGAATCGAACCCGGGCCGCTGCGGCAACAGCCCTGTACATGGGGCGCCTGCTCTATCCACTAAGCCACGGACGCCCCAGATGAATTAATTTTAAAGTTGTAAAATGGGAACACATAAAAGACATCTCTTCCTATGTCATGTTTTATTAAGACATATAATATAAATAACATTATCCATGACTTACAAGTATGAACAAGTCTAAATACATATGGATAATGGTCATTCATATCATATACTAAGACAGGTTTTGTAAGATAGATATTTGGTAATTAATGTTACATACATATACACAAGTTATTTTTGTGTGACAAAGTTGAAAGGTAATAACAATTGTGTATAAAAGTTTAAGACATAGGTTTATCTATACAAGGAGGCTGTCTATTTCATTTCACTCTGACTTATGGAGAAGGGGTGGGATTTAATAAGTTTATACTTCCACCCATTCCTTTTTGGATGTGTAAATCAATGTAAGGATACACTGACAATTGCTTTTCATTATTTCTGTCTGTCTTCTTGTTTAAATATCATTGTAGAGTGTCATGAAACAAACCGACACAGTCTCCAGAATAAATTTGGCACTGTACGTTCCTGCAAACCACCGATGTGTTACATTTGTATGTTTCAGACATAGCAGATATGTTGAAACTTTATGTTTCAGTTTTCAATGTTATGTTGAGACAAAGCTGTGGTTAGGTTTAGTTACTTAGTACTAGTACTTTAGTTCACTTGGCTGGGGTTAGACAAACATGTTTTGACCCAAAATACCCGGTTTGGTTGCTACGAACATGACTGGAAATGTCTGAAACTCTCATTAAAAAATACTTGCTTTTGTTGGTCTTGAATGGTAAATCTGCACTTGTGTAGCGTCTTTCTAGTCGTCCGACCACTCAAAGCACTTTTTACACTACGGATCACATTCATACACACAGTCATACACTGATGGCTGAAGCTACCATACAGAGTGTCACCTGCTACTTGGTTTTTAACACACTCACACACCCATGGAACAGCCACTGGGAGCAATTTGGATACTTCAACAGAGGAGCCAGGGATTGAACCGCTGATCTTCTGATTAGTGGATGACCCGCTCTACCTCTGAGCCACAGCAACCCCGAACTGTGGTTGGGTGCTTTCTGCTTCTTGGCAGCTGTTGTGGTGATGACTAGGTGTCCTGCCATCCACCATCCCCTGTTCCTCATGATGAGAAACTTGACTCATATACATGTAATCTGAACTACATCACACTACAATGCCAACATTTTATTCTGGTGACTGGGCTGCTGTTTAACGGCTTAGACCTAACTACACACAGGACTGCCCTCCCTATTACGTGCATGTGGTATAAAAAAAGAAGCACCTCTTGTACTGTGGGAAAAAAAACATTACCAGTAAACAGGCTGCAATTATGTTTTCCTCAAAACGTAATTGTGGAGAGACGGTTTCACGGTTTGTGCTGCATGGTAAAATATTACATTATAATAGTCTCTAGATTAAGTCTACAACAAAATAGTTGGCCTTCCCCATGAAGGGTTAATTAGATGTTGGGTTGAACTACAGTGCTGTGTGAACAGGGTGAAAAGACGGACAAGCTGATGCAATATTTATGTACTGAAAGCTGTAAAATCTCAGAATCACATCATAGTTTCTGACAGAGCAGCATACAGCACATACACATGAGAACGGTCAGCTGTTTAGCTTTCACAGCACAGATCCTCTCCTCTTTGTGTGTGTATGTGTGTTTTTCGAGTGCTTGTGCTTTCTACTGGATTTTCTTGAGGGCTACTGTGATGGTCTGCCTTGCCTTGGCACATACCGTACCTTTGAAGTTGGGTCTGATGCGGGCATCATATCCTGATGTTTTCCCCATGAGCTTGTCCAGGAAGTCAGAAGGCGACAGCTGTGGTCCTGCCCTGCTGGGGGGCTTTATCTCCTCCTTACAGGAGCTCAGTCTGACATCATCCAGGGAGGGAGACAGAGAGGAGGAACAAATATGAAGAGAAAGAAAGGAGAGAAGATTGGAGAAAACAGCAGAGGAGGGAGTGTGTGTATGTACGAGACGTATCAGTGGGGGNGGTAAAAAAATAATGAGAATCCAACAGAATGAGAAGCCAACAGCTATCACCAAGTCAGTCATCAGCAAAAAATACCCAGCGGTGGATGGGGAAATGAGTGTGAAAAATGACAATGGATGGCTTGCCTCAGCTGGCAACTAAAAGCTTATCTATTTCACATCATGTCTGAGACTTATTGTAGTTGTTAGGCCCTAACTACAGAGAAGAAAAACAGAAGCCGAGGTAAACTTGTCCCTCTCCTGTGCTTCCCACAGCTCGTGGCTTAGCAGGGGTAAGGCTTGACAGATTGATGGCTCAATTGTAATGCTATGAATGTCACACCGGGGAGAGGAAGGAGTTGATACAAGCTCCAGTGAGGCTCAGGCAGCCACTGACAGGAATAACCAACAGGCCGGAGTGAAAGTGAAGACGGGGAGGGAGACAGGAAATCTTAAAACCAAACGAAAGACAGAGGGAATAAGGAAACAAGGAAAACGCTCTTTAAGGTTCATAATGGATTTGATTCCTCGCTGGCCCCTGCTGCAGCACAGCTGATCGCACCCCATGCTTTGGATACGATTGTTAACAGTTCACGATCTGTCATGATCTAAAACTCCGGAGTACAGATGGCTGGTTCAGTCCCCTCCGAGGCACTGCTTTGCTGATGCCCTGTGTTCTCGGGAGTGTGTGCAGCCAGTCACTGATCCACCAATCTTACGGACTCTTAGCTGTATTTAAAGCCACATAAACTGCATCGTCAGGGGCTGCAGGATCGAGGACTTTTTGGGAAGTGGAGAGGAAAGCTGAGCTGATCCTGAGAGATCTTCCACTGTTAATTGTGAAGGCAACAATTAGGAATTGTTGGCTATCACTGTGTCATAATTATGAAGCTATGATTAAATATGCTCAAGTATTTTTCCACTGAATATCTAGCAACAATACATTAAAGATGGTATACTTTCAAAAGACAATTTCAGCCATTAGATTGCTCACAAACACACCTACATTTGAGGTGTGAGGTGTTTGAGGTGCTCACCCATCATCATGTGTAAGTGCTTCATAGTCTCAGATGGAAACCAGCATGCTGTCAATTCCTCAGTGGTCTAAATCGACAGTGAGTGAGTGCAGCCGTCTGCGTATATCAATCAAGGCATAACTAAAAGTAAAGTGAGGGATTTTTTTGGCGTACATATGCAGTGGGACAGTCAATAGAGTGCAATCCTCTGCCAAACAAGTACATCTTGTCAGCCTGCAGGTTGCATCCAATTTGTCAAAGTAGCTTTATCTTGTTTTTTAGCTCTCTGCTGCAAAAAACATACAATACACATACATGACGTATGTTGATTACAAAAGGGATTCATATGAATGTCTTCTGATCTGCCAACACAACTGTTGAAGTCTGGTTTGGTTTAGACACAAAAACTACTTGGTTAATATTAGTAACAGATCATGGTTTTGGTTAAAAGGACAATTTTTCATTGTTGTTACAAAACAAGATGCAGTCTTCTCTGTCTTTGCTTCCAAACACCCACCGGGACTTCCTCCCTGTGACACTACACGCGCCTTTGCTACTAAACCAGACATAAAGTCATAATTCACACGACCACAAGAGCTCCCTGTCAGCAGGGTGGGAGCCACGGTTTAGAAATAAGCGAGGTCCAGATTTTTACTTTTAATGGAGCTTATTTACTGCATTTCTGAGCAAGCAATATTTTTCAGTTTTTCTGAAAATCTAGCATGAGTAATACAATAAACAAACAAACAAAAACTCATCCAGCATCCGCTATTTCTAAACTTCTTTTTGATGTTTCAAAAGAAACATCTATATACATGCCTGATTTGTTTTCGAGATGACAAGTATTTCGAAATGCAGGTATTTGAAGGTACAAAAATGGGGCTTCTACTCGATCAGCCAAAACATTTGAAGCACTTCACTTATCCAAACACCATGACAAACACTGCAAGGCAAAGACTGCAATGCATCAACCTGGCCTCTAAATTCCCCAGATCCCAATCTGATGGAGCATCTGTGGGACGTGCCAGTGCCCCACCTTACAGCCAACAGGTCTCAAAGGATCCACCACCAATGCCCCAGTGCCAGACTCCAAAGCACCCCCCTAGAGGTGTCCATGCCTTGACATGTCAGAGCCAAGTCCGACCCAAAAAGGCCCCACTGTGGATTGGGGTACCTCTGGGGTACTGGCACGCCCCACGAATGCTCAATCAGATTGGGATCTGGGGAATTTGGAGGCCAGGTTGACCTGTTGAGCTCTCTGTCACGTTCTTCTGGCCACTTCATCTTTTACTGTTTTGGCTGATCAGTGTATATATCCAACTCCTGCATATCTCTGTTTTCTATGTGTGTATTTTACTCTTTGTTAGCACCTTATTATGAAAACCAGGTGTAATCTCACACACACCCTTCCACTACAACACATTCTTTGATCTCTCCATTAGCTCAATCTGGGCCACATGAATGCTTTTAGGGGAAGCCAAAAAGGTGTCCGTGAGCGCCCGGTCGTCCGCAGGGAGCCAAGCCCACAGGGCACGATCTAAGAATGACAGCGGTCAAGCCAGCCGTCACTCACATCTTTCTTTCAAGTGGTTTCACATCAGACAGATACAAAAAGACGGTATTTTTTGTTGTTGAATTATTACAGTTCAGGACCTCAGTGACCTTGTAGCTGTCTCTGTGCATACCTATCAGGATAATGTCAGGTGTTTTCTGGTGAAGATAGTATGTTTTATTAACATGTTGGCATGTTGCTATACTCACATTGTCAGTGTGGTTCGATTGTGTACAATGGTAATGGTACTACAGATGCTAAACATTCTTTAACTTGAGCCAAACATTGGTTATATTCCTGAAGCTGTGTGACCTAACTTGTTTACATTAAGCCGAACTTACATAAATCATGAGTAAGACAAGGATCTGAAACAGGGGTGGAGCCAGGCATCATAAACATTTGGGGCTCAGCCCAAACCTATAGGGGTCTGGGAGCATGCTCCCCTGTAGAGACTGTTTTCCCAGTTAATGTAAGGCAGCCATATACAGTACACAATCTTTCAAGCCATTTAAAATAACAGAATGCTTAAAAATAGTACATCATTTGGAAAATGCATGATAGCTGCCAAATGAAATGAATAATCCTGTAGAGCCTACTTGGTATTTTGTATCTGATTGTTCTCCAACATTCTTTATCATTCTTAAATGGCAGCACAACAAATGTTGAAGATGACTAATTTTCACTCCTACAAAATAAAAAAAAAGGCAAAAAATGTCTTTACTATTTAGAGTTTTTGTTTGTTGGGCTGATGGGCTGCTAACACATGTTCTAGATAAATCACCACTGGGCCTACTGTTATCAGTTTTACTCCTTTTACTGTTACTCATGTGTAAGTTATGATTCACTTTGCCGATTTGAATCATTTCTTTCAGTTCTACGTAAGATGCTTCACTGACAATGTGGTTTGTTCACTTTTCTTTAAATATAAAGGCCCAGACACACCAAACAAACCTCAGAGAACTAGCAGTGACAAAGGCCCACGTTGCTGTGTCTCCACCAAAAAGTTGCATATGAACACACTGCAAAGACAACAGCCAACGGTCAACCAGCATGTATGTTCTGTGTCAGCATTAATAATTATCCACACTAGCAGATGGACAGTCTGAAATCGTCATTCAAAAAGGGTAGCTGGAAGAATGTCTTGACACCAGCAAGCCAGTTAGCTGATCAACAACACAGTCCAATTGTGAAAGAACAGGACATATTTACCGTGCACCAGTGAACAGTGACACAAACCATCAGGAAGCATTTCTGCTGAAGAGCTCCCTGTCGATTTTAGCTCTTTGTTTACTTTCCTCATTTCCATTTTGCTTCTCGTGCGCTTATCTGAACTGCATATTAGAGTGATTTCATTCACTGATGAGTTCTGCCAACGCCACTTCAACACCATGAATTGGCCAAAAAAAACAACAGGCGCCAATTAAGGGCAACAGTGCCAGAGACATTGCACCGACTAGGGTGACAGATGCTGACCAACAGCCAACTGTTGTCTTGGTGTGTCAGAGGCTTAAGAGCCTGCCTCACTGTTCATATGCACATCAGCATGTACTGCAGTACGTGAACATATCACCATTAATGTCACTGCAACATTTAGTGGTGGCTCTGCAAGTTTCAAGCTATTGTATTTCGTTTAGTACAAAGCTAGGCCTATACAGCTACTGTTATAAGGTTAATACCTCAGCAACCAACTCTTTGCTACAGAGTTATCATGATTGTTTCTGTGGCTTTCTTGGTCTTTAAATGAGCTTCTCATGAAGGAGTAACAAACTGTGTATCACGGCTGAGCTAACAACAGTGCATGCAGTCACCAGTGAAGCTCTGCCGCTACTGATTCATTCATTGATGTGTTGATCTTTCACTGGTGGTACTTGGTTCCTTCCTGGTAGGGACAATGTAAATAGTGTGACAGCAATTATTCTTGTGTGAATCCACTCTTTATTATTTTTGCGCTAATTAATCTTTGCAGTACATTTACCCCTTCAGTATCTCATCTTTTACACATTGTAATCAACATTAAATATACTGTGTTTAATCTGATCGAGTTTTCAAACTTACAACCTCTAATTGGAAGCATCGTTTGCTGCATGGCTGACATCTACCATATTAGCATAATCACATTAGCATGTTAACATACACACAGCTATCATGGTAACTTTCCAAATTACATTTCTAATCATCCAGTAGTTTTCCCTGGAGCCGCACCACTCGTAGTCTCCTGTTATGGCTAAAAATAACACAAGCACCCGGCACCCGGCATATCTCCAGTCTTTCTTACAGTACAAAGCTCGACTCTCACTGGTCCCCCGACTCCACTCCACTGCTTCTGGCTAA